TTGAACCGCCAGCCTTCTGGTGAGCAGTCAAGTGCCTCAGGCACTATGCTACCAGAGCTCCTAATTCTGCCTTCTAGTGTACTTGAACTCTCCTGAAATAGTTACAGAAACTGTATCTTCTCATAATTTTGTTTTCCCTACTCAAGGAAAAATACTAGCCTGCTAAGGGAAAGCCTCTTCAAACCCAGCTCCTTCTGTTCATGTGACCTTATCTAAGAAGTTGTTAGAAACATTACTTCCCAGGCTTTTTCACTGCAATGCTCATTCTGTAGTCATGGGTTTTAGCACTAAAAGGTATCTTAAGTAGAGCCTGTCACTTAAGTTGGAAATGACTCGTTCAGGGTCACAGAAACTTTTTTTGATTTAGGATAATAATACTCCCAGCAGCTACCAAATCCATTAGAAAATCTAACTAAGATTGTTGTTAGCATTCGGTCCCCTTGAGTTGGCTCCAGCTCACAGCAGCCCTGTGTATAACAGAATGAAACACTGTCTGATTATGCACCATCCTCATAGTCCTTGCAATACCCAAGCCACTGTGTCAATCCATCTCATTGAGGGTCTTCTCCTTTTTCACTGATCCTCCACTTTACCAAACATGATATCCTTTTCCAGGTAATGGCCCTTTCTGACAACATGACCAAAGTAGCTAAGATGAAGTCTGGCCATTCTCACTTTCAAGAACCATTCGGCTGTGATTCTTTCAGGATAGATTTGTCCATTCTTCTGGCAGTCCATGATATTTTCAGTATTCTTCTCCATTACCATAATTCAGAAGCATCAACTCTTCTTCAGTCTTCCTTTCTCATCATCCAGCTTTCACATGCATATGAGGTTATTGAAAATACCATGGCGTGGGTTAATGAGCCTGGACTAGAAAGAAGAGAAAACGGGATGTTAATAGAAAGAGGAAATAAGATCCACTTGGGACTGAGGCATTTAGAGGGGAAATTGGTATTGAAGGATATCAGGTTGCTCCTTATTATTAATCTTTGCACTCCGCCTCTTTGATGTGAGCTTAAAATGTAGGTATTTGCTTGAAAGACAAGATCCTTCCCTAAATTCTACTCTTGTCCCTTTCTGGACTAGATAAAATCAAACCCAAACCCATTGAGTTGGTTCTAATTCATAGTGACCCTTTAGGACAGAGTTATTTCCAAGGCTATAAATTTTTATGGAAGCAGACTGCCTCATCTTGTAAAGTGACTAGTAGGTTTGAACCACCCTTTTGGTTAGCAGCCAAATGCTTTAACCACTATACCATCAGAGCTCCTTTGGACTAGGTAAGGCCCCTATTAAATGCTCCTATGCTCCTATAGGGAGCTCTGGTAGCATAGTGGCTAAGGCACTTGACTGCTAACCAGAAGGCTGGCGGTTCAAACCCACCAGCCACTCCTCGGAAGGAAGGTTGGGCAATCCTACTTCCGTAGTGATACTGCCTCGGAAACCCAAGGAGGGGTCGCTATGAGTCAGGGCTGACTCGACGGCACATAACAACAACAACAACAACATGCTCCTATAGGGAAACTCTGGTAGTGTAGTGCCTAAGGCACTTGACTGCTAACCAGAAGGCTGGCAGTTCAAATCCACCAGCCACTCCTCAGAAGGAAGAGGGGGCAATCTACTTCTGTAATGATACTGCCTTGGAAACCCAAGGAGGGTCACTATGAGTCAGGTCCAACTCGACGGCACATAACAACAACAATATAGACCTATAAGGAGAAAGATGAGACAGTCTACTCTGTAGAGATTTACAACCTTGGAAACACTTTGGAGCAGTTCTACTCTATCCTGTGGGGTAGCTGTGAGTCAGAATTGACTCTATGTTAGTGGGTTTGGCTTTTGGTATAAGCCCTATACCACTTCTTAATAACTAACATTTATGAAACTCATAAGAGAGCTCTGATGGCATAGTGCCTAAGGCATTTGACTGCTAACCAGAAGTCTAGTGGTTCAAAACCCACCAGCCACTCTGTAGAAGGAAGACTGAGCAACCTAATTCTGTAAAGATATACCACCTCGGAAACCCAAAGGGGATAGCTATGAGTCAGAATCTACTTGATGACTGAGGTTTTTTTGTTTTTTTTTTAAATGATATTCATAATTGCTTGTTTGGTGTCTAGTTGTCTATTCTAAAATGAAAGTCCTGTGATCCTAGAGACTATTTCTTTAATTCACTGTTATTGCCAGCTTAGCACAATGCCTGATATTTGGTAAATATTTACTGATTGGTAGGCTTGTCCACTCAAAAGAAAGGATTGGTTGATTGTAAAGGATTGGTTGAAGTCAAAATATGAAGGAAAGCATAGGCACATTTTAGAGTTGGTAATTAATGGAGTGTTTTGTCTTCTACTTATCAACTTGGTCCTTAGATTTTGATAAGCAAGACTTAACCTGATCCTATTTTAGCTTTCCAATGTAAAATTCTCTATTCACCGCCCCCCTCCCCACCGTCCATGGTAATGGTATGAGTTGAGGGGGAAAAAAAAAAGTTTAAGAATTGCAGCCGAATGGTTTATCTCTAATAAATTATTGAACATGAGAAACCCTGAGGTCTTTCATAGTAGAGATATCTACTAAGCATCTAGGGGAAGAGTTAGGATGTCTTAATCAGAATCTCTTATAATATTAAGATAATTCTTTTGTAGAGTTTTCCATCTGATGAAGGTTGGCCGTTTGCAAAATATCTTGGAGCTTGTGGAAGAATGGTGGCTGTAAATTATGTTGGAGAAGAGCTGTGGAGTTATTTTAATGCACCATGGGAAAAACGAGTTGACCTTGCTTGGCAATTAATGGAAATAGCAGAGCAGCTTACAAACAATGACTTTGAATTTGCACTCTACCTCCTGGATGTCAGCTTTGACAATTTTGCAGTTGGTCCTAGAGATGGGAAGGTAATCATTGTGGATGCGGAAAATGTTTTGGTTGCTGACAAACGATTAATCAGACAGAGTAAGTATATAACTTTTAGATTTGTTTTTTTGGTACTCATTTTTCCTTTCAGAATAAAGTTTACTACATTCATATGAAGCAAGCCTTTAATTTCTTTTAATGATTTGGCACCCTTTCGTCTTTTTATATTAGTCTTTCATTGTTTTATTTGACCACTATTAATAAGCAAATAATTGTACTTGTGCTCTTAGTCAACATTGTTCCTTGGCCATGATGTTCTAATGGACACACATGTACTGTGTATGTATGTGTATGTGTGTGAACACACATCTTTAATATAGGATGTGCTATATATTCTGTGGTTTAGAGTCTAATACAGAATTAAGTTTACATAGTCAAAGGCTACTGGAGAGACAATACTGCTTATGGAGCCCTTCTTGAATCACTCTATGGGGCCTGTTGTAGTCAGTCCCTACAGTGATGGATTTGCTTTTGTTTATAACCATTTGTCTAATTCTTAGTACTGCAGATCTGACTTCATTTTGACATTCTGATTGTTATATCTCATTCAAAACCTTGATCTTCACAGAATAGATGGGCAGAATGCCTGTAGTGTTCTGAAAATTAAATGCCATAGGAATTTTAAAGTTTTAGGAACAAAGCCTGTAGTTCTGTAACCAATCCAGTCAGAAAAAGAAAATGAATGGTCATTGCTTCATGGTGAAGGTCTTTTAATTTTGCACCTCTCCTCTCCCTTCATAGAGGATCTCCTGATGAATAAAGACCAAAGATGTAGAGAATGCAGTGAAAATGACAATATATTAAGTTTATGCTTAATTTTTACATTATCTTAGCATGTGCCAGTTAAATACTTAATTTTCCCCAGTCCCTTCTTCTGATTCCATACTCATCAAGCAACTTATTTCTCAACTTGTCATGTAGCTCCTTCACAGGGAGTAACTCTCTCCTCCTCAACTCACTGCCATTAAGTGGGATCCGACCCATAACAACCCCTCCTTGGGTTTCCATAGCAGTATCACTACGGAAGTAGATTCCCTCATCTTACTTCCAAGGAGTGGCTGGTTGGTTTGAACCACCAGCCTTCTGGTTAGCAGTAAAATATGCCTTAGGCACTACACCACCAGAGCTCCTACTCTCTCATCCAGTGTTCCCTTATTTTTTCTACATCTCTGATGGATGAAGCAACTTGCTCTGTGCTTTTTGTTTTTAATGTGTACAAATCAGTGTTTTGTGTTGTAACTTTTTAGTATATTCACAGAATTATGCATTTTGCCTAAACTTTAAAAAGTTTCAGTCTGGGGTTTTTGAGGGAAAAAAAAAATTCTCTAATTCATTTTATGTAAATATTTCTGGAATACATGTTACATTTTTATACGAACTAGTTCCTCACCTTGGATGAAGCCATCCAGCTTCTGTATTCTTACATCTCATCTAGTGATCATTGCTCTAGTGCTAAATTATCTAGCTCTGGCCAGTTCTTTTCAAATCTCTCATGGTGGGGCTGTCTTAAATAGTCATGCCCTATATATTCAAATATTTACCCACTTTTCTTTTCTCTTTCCAGTAAATGACCATTTTTTTTCTTCACCAGGAAATTGAAATTTTGCTGTGGAAACTTCCTTAGTATGCTTTCTTTTATCATCTAAACCTAGTTAAATTAATACCCATTTACCCCTCAGTCTTCAGACATGTTAGATCTTTCTCTGTTGTATCAGTTATCTTTTCAATTCCTTTCTTAATATCTATAGACATCCATAAGCAAATACAGAAGACCCATTCCTGCTCTAAAAACAAAAACAGTACCCAACTACAATTTGAAAGTCTATCTTATGCTTTCTCTTGTCTTTCAGCTATTTTAAAAGTATTGCTTACTCTGCCTGCCTCTATTTCCTGAACCTCCATTCATTCTTCAGTCCATTAAAACCTGACCTAAATGTCTACCTTGCCATTAGTAACTACCTAATTGGCAAATTTGTGACGGGACTCTGAAGAGTAACAACTTCTTGAACTTTCTTCCTTTGTTTGGCTTCCTTCAATTACTTGCATAGTTTCTTGTTAAAAATATAAATCTCATCTTACCACTCCCTGTTTAGTACTTTTAAAGACTACCTCTTATTCTTCAGGTAAATCTAAACTCCTTACCATGCATAATCCCTCTGACTTGACCCTGTTCTGCTTTGTCTATAATGTCTTCTGTCCTTTTGCCCTTGATGCTTGGCTATAGCCTTTTGGTTTCTGGAATGAACTTTTTCACCTCTGGGCTTTCCAAAATGCAGTTCCGTCTGCCTAAAATTCCTTATCTCTCCCTATATTGAAGGACAAGTTACTTGTCCTTCAAGCTTTAGCTTAAATGTTACCTCCTAAAAGGGACTTTTCTGACTACCATTTGTAACAGTAGAGAGGGTTGTTTCCTTCATAAATCTTTACTACTGTTAGAAACTGCTGTTTCCTTTATAGCATTTTCTGCAATTTATGATGGATGTTTATTAATTTACTTAATTAATACTCTATTTCACACAATCAATGGTAAACCATTGAGGAGAGGGACCATATCTGTTTACCATTATATACCCTTGCCTGCCATAGATATTTTAAATAATTATTCACTAAATGAATGAGTTTCTTTCACTAACCTCCCCTCTGCCAACCCCTTAAATCTCAAGGATTTACCCTTAGTCCCCCTTTTTTTTTTTTACCCTTTGCTTTCATGCAGGGCTTCAAACCAGTTAATTCTGTTTGGACTCCCTGCTGGTAATTTGCATTTCCACCCCAGGGGAATGAACCAGTTGGAAGCCCTGCTTTCAACACACTTTCCTGTACAAGTCTGTTCATTACCATGGTTTCATCAAGCACACACATGCTAATGGGTTCTATAAATAACGTGTACTGTACCTCTAACCTCAGAGTCATAAGTTCTTAATCTGTATTTCTAGTTGCATATATAATATGGCTGGCCACCAGAACACTTCATAACTACTTTATATCTACTTCCTTTAATCCTCCACCTAACTTCCTCACCTGCTAAACCACATCACTTTTAATAGCACCTACCTAATCATCTAATTAGAAGCTTAAAATTTTGTAATATACTCACCTGTTAATTTTTTCTCGAATGTTTCTCTACTCTGGATTTTCTTTCTGGCCTTTCTTTAGTTCTTCTTACCATCTTAGTCCCTCCAGTCTTCTGACCAGAGAGGTCTTCTGTAACACAAATCATGGTCATGACCACACAAGATATAGCCTATTTCTCTAACCTTATCTATAAGTCCTCCCCAGGTACCTGCCTCACTCCAGCCAGAGTGACCATCTCAGGATTTCCTCAGCCAGCTAGACAAATCAGTCCCTTAGTCCATGCCTTTGCACATACTATTATGGCTTTGACCAGAATGCTATTTTCCCTCATTTCTCTTGAGGTTTGCTCATCTTTTAAGACTTTAGATGTTCTCTTCTCAGCAGCCTTCCACAGCCCCAGCAGAGGTGCTGCTTCCTCTGTACCCCTGCAGCATGTCATAGCTCTGCGTAGCACACTCTGTGGATAATGGAAGTCTCTACTAGACCACATCCTTCAGCAGTAGGGGGAAGGGCTATTTCTGGTTCATCTGCCTGGCACACTGGTGGACACCCCTAAATGTTTATGTGAATTAATATACTTTGATGTTTAAAATTATAATACAGTTCTAAGAACAGATACTATTACATTAATTAGTAAAGTGTTTTATTTTTGGAAGAAATGAAAACTTTTAAAATGTATTTATCTTTTTCCTTTTTTATTCTTCCACAGATAAACCTGAAAACTGGGATGTATGGTATGAAAGCAAATTTGATGACTGTGATAAGGAGGCTTGTTTATCATTTTCAAAAGAAATTCTTTGTGCTCGTGCCACCGTGGACCACAATTACTATGCTGTTTGTCAGAACCTTTTGTCCAGACATGCCACCTGGCGTGGCACTTCTGGAGGACTCCTTCATGATCCACCAAGTGAAATTGCCAAAGATGGCCGCCTAGAGGCCTTGCTAGATGAGTGTGCCAACCCAAAGAAGCGCTATGGCAGATTCCAGGCAGCAAAAGAACTGCGAGAGTACCTAGCACAATTAAGTAACAACGTGAGGTAGTCTTTGGTGAACTTTGTCTTTTCCTTTCTCCATTTTAATAGCACTGGCTAAAACTAATCCACCAAAAACTCTCTGGAAAAATGAAATTTGGAGGTTTTACGTTCAAAGGGTGATAAACTTGCACTGATAGAACTCATGTTAACATCCATCAAAATAAGACATTACTTCAGAAATTACATGATGCTTCTGCAAATAAATATGTTCTCACATGTTGGAAACTTGACCTGTCATTGACTGCTTTGCCCCCTAATGCCTGAGTGGATTACTGAATATTTTTAAGCTATTGGAAATGAGTCTGATAGTTACATTGGCTTGTGTATCAAAGGGTACTTGGTACTTGACATAGTTTGCATTAGTCTCATGATTTTGTGAATCTCTTACATTTACTTTGAATGTCAAGTTAGATCGGCCTGTTTTATAGGCCACTTTTTCCTTCTGACAAATAGGGTTTTTTCCATTTTTATGTTTTTTGTAAAATTTTACACATTCAGGTTATTGTTGGTGTTCATTTAAGTTTTCATCGGATACTTTGTGGTACATATTTACAATTAGGACAGGATTCCCAGGTTTACTGTCTTTTTTTTTTCTGACAGCTGAATGAATAGTTTAGTGTGTAACTACTTCCCACACATGCACCCTCTGGTTTCACCATTGCATGAGATTATTTCAGGTTATTTAACAGTTCCATCCTTCTATGCCAGTAATTATCATTGTACACTGAAGTTTGGCATATATTACAAAATTGTTGTTTTGTCCTTTACTAAAGACTTCAAGAAAGTATACTAGCAGTCTACATCTTGATGTTAATTTTGGTTCAGAAAAAAATATAACCTGATGTTTTTAAAATACTATCTAGTTCAAGATTGTAATACATATGCCAAAGAAATACTAGACCTAGTTCCATGGTTAGATTTTAAAATAGAATTAATTGGTTAACCTACTTAATCTTACCATTCCATTTCCAGTACTTTTATTATAACTCTTTCATTATTAAATTCATATCTCCCCAGTTCCTCTTTAATGTTGAAAAGCTCAGCTACTCTTTTCAAAAATATGTAACTTAAGAATAGCCTGCCTTTTATTCATTGGTAGTTTTGCAAAATTAGCATGATAGCCATCATTTGAACTTAATCAGGCATCATAACCTTTTAATTATCGACGGACTAATAATTCTTATTGTAGAGGACGCAAACAATTTAGTCAGTCTGCCCACCTTGGTCTTCATTGACCAGTTGTTAATCTCAGCATCAAAACATCAGATTTAAATATGTGGATAAAAATGATCATAAATGTAAAATTTGTAGGCTATTTAAGAAATGGTACAGTGAAAATCACCTATTATTACTGTAGATAATATTTGTTTTAGTACTTCCGTTTATAGCAGATTTTGGTGCTGTGTGCAGTGTTTAGTTCTAGACTGACCTTATCCTAAATCAGAAACTGATTAAAATATGCACAACCAAAGCCAAGTTTTCCTTTTGTTTTTCATTCATTCAGCAACTATTTATTGAGCATCAGCTCTATACCAGGCACATGACTAGCTGCTATACACTATCAGAACATGACATGTGGTTAAATAACTTTATAATAACTATCAAATACTTTAGGTATTTCTTAAGTTGAAATAGCATTGTTTAAATTAGGATGATGCTTTCACGTTGTACTATTGTGATGGAAATTCTACATGTACCATCTAAAAAGAGATTGCTGCACGATAGAGCAGGCTGAAATCAATGAAGTTAACCCCAGTTTGAAAACTGAAGGGAAAAAGGTAAGAGTGAACTGCATTATGTTAATTTTTATATGGCACTATGTTGCATATACCATCTTGCCCTCAGTGAGCATTTAAGTGCTGGAAATTTTATTAAACCGACTACTTTTTATGACTTTGGAAAATCTTTGAAGGGAGTAGGTAAAAGTACTTGTCCACATTGTCCTCTTACTCAGAACTTCAAATACACATTCTCAAAACAGAGCACCTTTTATATTTGATAAATACTCATTAGAAACCTTAGAACGCTAGTCACAGAGGTTGTCTACCTGTGGTTTAGCAAACATTTATCTTTCATTTTGGAAGCATAGTTGTGATTGCAGAACAGGAAGTGAGAAAACGCAGCCAGTGGTGATTGCTACTTGAGGTAGTTTTTATATCTACCATTCCCCCCCATGAGATTGATGTGTGGGATTTCTTTTACCTTTGGAAAAGGTTGAGGAGAAGATAGTAAAAGAATTAGGAATTGAAAATTACAGGGAATAATATGTATGTGAAAAGCAATAAATATTTTGTTCATTTTGCTATCAAGATGTTCACTATCAGATATTTATTATACAGCAGCAATTTATATTTTTAATCATTGCCCATTAATAGATGCATTAAAATATTTTTGAATCAGACATTTGGGGTTTGTATGTGCATTAAAATTGTCTTTTGTACTGTACGTTACTGTTTAATTTGAATATTTTATCAAAACTGTCTCCCTGTGCCTTTATATTATAAAAGTTGTTTCTACAACTTTTAATGATCTTAATAAAGAATACTTTAAGAATCACACTTTCAGACTATCTCTTACTTCATCTATCCCAAATTTTCTAGACTGGAAAGTGAGGTTATAGATGGCAGTTTTTTTTTTTTTAATCCCCCTGTGTATGTATTTTGTTACAATTTTGGGGAACTATCAGGTTGGGTGGAGTCCTGGGTGCTTCAAATGAGTAATGTGTTGGGTTGCTAACTGAAAGGTTGGAGGTTCAAGTCCACCGTCAGGCACCACCGAAAGAAGGCCTGGCGATCTACTTCCAGAAATTTAGTTATTAAACAACTCTGTGGAGCACAGTTCTGCTCTGACACAGATGAGCAACTGGTATCTGGTTGTGTGTGAATTGAACTTAAGGTCTGTGTGTTTTGTTTTTAGTGCAGTACCTTTATTTTAGCTTTGCCTACTAAAACGGGATTTTTTTAAAACTTCATTACTAAAATTTTCTAATGTATACACAAGAATAATAAAATGAACAAAAATATAAAGAATTCCAGTTTCAAAAGTTAGCAGCATGTGGCTAAACTTGTTTTTTCTATGCCCCTACTTATTTCTGTTTTGTTTTGAAGCAAGTATGAGACAGATTCATATGTACACAATAGGCATTTTTCTCCCCAGTGAAACCACCATACATTTTACATATGAAAAATTAACAGTAATCCCTCATCACCAAAACAGGAAAGTTCTCAAACACTATGATGTTTTCTCAAAGGCTCAAAATCCAACTGAATGGGTTCCTACTAGCTATATAGATAAGACAGTTAGAATCAATAAGGATAACAACTGCAATGGATGAAAACATGTTACATATGTAAATCTGTGTATTCAAAATGATGCTAAAAAGCAAGACCCCCAAACAAACAAACTTGGTCACCTTTGGAAAAATATATTCTGAAAGCCAGTAAATTGAAGGGTAAGAAGCATTCATCCTCCCTTAAACAAAAAGAAAAAAAACTTACTGCCATCAAGTCAATTCAACTCATAGCAACCACCATTGGGTTTCCAAGGTGGTAAATCTTTATGCAAGTAGATTGCCCAGTCTCCTTCAGCAGAGTGGCTGGTGGGTTTGAATTCTGGTTAGCAGTCAAATACCTCAGGCACTATGCCACCAGAGTAATCAGTAATTCAAGAGGGAAAGGTTTGTGTTTTTTTGGGAGGGAGGTAGGATTACTCCAGTTAAATATAGAAGTGTTAGACTATCACTGTTTTGCAATTTCTAATTAACTGAATCTAGGCAGTGATCATCAATGACTAGTAAAACTGTTAGGTGAAAAATTTGTTGAGTAACTGAGTGGATCAGGGTAGCAACACCTTTACCTTCTGGGCAATCTTACCAAAATGATGTGCCTTCTGATGCGACACAACAGAAAGTAGCCAGCACCACCTATGAAGTGTCTTACCAGAAACATAGAACCGTAATCTGATCAAGCGCCTAGATCTAGCCATTAATCAAAAACAGAACCAAAGGAACATGTTAAAGGACACTATGAGGATGCAAGGAAAATATTCAGAATGTGGGCAATTGTACAGGATAAACTTCTCTAAGGAGTTGTAAGGAAAAGGAGGAGGAGTTCCTACCTTTACATTAAAGATACCCAGTTCAACTGCATGTGGTGTTACCTTAATAACTTGATTTGACTAAAAACCAAATCAAACCAAACCCACTGCTGTCAAGTCAATTTCGACTCAACCTGCAGGACAGAGTAGAATTGCCCCCATAGGGTATCCAAGGCTATAAATCTTGACAGAAACAGGCTGCCTCATCCTTCTCCTGTGGAGCGGCTGGTGAGTTCAAACTGCCGACCTTATATTGGCTGGGTGAGGAGGGAAGATCAGGAAAACACAGCCACCCCCAATTCTTTAGTTTCTGAGACTTGTTAGGTGCCATCGAGTCATTTCCAACTCATAGTGACCTATGTACAATAGATTGAAACACTGCCTGGTCATGTGCAATCCTCACAATCCTTGCTATACCTGAGCCCATTGTTGCAGCCACTGTCAGTCCATTTCCTTGATGGCCTTTCCCTGATTTCACTGACCCTTCACTTCACCAGGCATATCTTTCTCCAGGGAATGGTCCCTTCTGACAGCATGATCAAAGTAGGTGAGACTTGTTTGAATTGTTTAAAATGAATTCTTAGAAAATATTTTGAAGAGGGAGGGTTTGAATCCTCTTGCCATTGACACTTGCCAGCTTTGGCCCTAGACGAATTATTTAATGCCTATTTAGTTTTATTTTTGGAAAAATAGAATTTCCTCTTTGACTTACAAGGTTCCTGGAAAGATGGAGTAATGTATGGGAAAGCACTTTGTGAATTGTCGTGCAGGGATATTATAACAACAAGTAAACATTGATGGTTTGACCAGACAGAAAAAAATACTTCATAGAAGGATTACATAATTTGCTTCTTGCTAGCTGGCACTGAACAGCTACTAATGACTTTTACCTCTTTATAACTCAAGACTATA